TGTGTTGGTTAGAAGGTAGGGAGTTAGGCGTGTGCTTTATCAGCTTTGTTCTTCCCGGCATTCTCGAGTGGAGAATGTCTCTAACAGCCTCAACAGTATCTTACTCGGCACGAAGATCATGCCTTGATGCTCGATGATGCCGCTCGCTATGCGGTGGCCGTCGTATTAATGGTAGTTACAGGCGACACCCACCTAGCTGGACTGTCGTGATGCCGTCTCTTGTTAGATCGGTTTGGCTTTATGCCTCTTCGTAATCGATGAGTTTCGTGGTACCAGACCGGAGGCTTCGACGGCGTTCATGCCAGTTTTTTCTCCCGTTGAGAGCAACCCATGGTGAGCAGGAAACCGGGCATGAAATAGTAATGATGTGATTAGGGCTAAGCTGAATGACTATGAGTACTTCTCTGGCCTGTTCGGTCTTGGGAAGTGGGGTTTGTGGAAGTGGCCCACCAAGATGGTCCGCCGCAGCACTGCTAGGCTCGCCAAAAGTAGCAGACGAACTCAAGTTGATGGGTTGTCAGGGTTATGGGTTAGGGCTGCGTAAGGAGACAAATGACCACTCTTATCGTGAAACAGGCCTCCCATGGGCACCCGTTGTCCATGCTTACATCAGCTGTATGGTCCTTTTTATGAAGGGCATACTAAGAGAGTGTCTCTGGACTGTTACGGTCAATAAGAAAAAGAATGCTAACGAGAAATGGTGCCCGCAGTGGTGGAAAGAATTCTATACTCAGCACATGTGAGTGGGACGGAGAATAGTCGGCGAGCAACTGGATGGACCATATTGAGGTCTCGGTTGGGATCCAGGTACCGAAGGATCGAGGACTGTTGGAATAGGCCCATATGTTCGGCACCGGGCAGCACCATCGATGTATTACTCGAGAAGGGAATCCCTACCTAGTGTCTCTATCCCTTCAAGGGATAGAGACACTAGGTAGAGGTGTTCTAACCAGGTACTCGTCCGAGCTCGTCATTATCACATTGCGAAGCGCTTTGGGAAATTCCAACCTACTGGGGAGGTCCAGAAAGGATGTATCAATTTGGCTTCGTTTAACTACCTTGGATTTGGAGGCACCGATGAATACTGTAGGAGGATACTCGACCCTTGTAGAGTAACTTGAGCTCCACATCAGGCACTCCACTGGCGATCAAAGCGTTAGACCAGTTCGGGCTGGCAGTGTGTGCTTCGCGACCAGAATATGGAGGTGATGACCACAATGCAGCGTGTGGTCTTCTATGGTGGGTCCTTAGGAACGAATAGGCTCCACACTGAGTTTGAGTCGAAGGTGGCAGCATTCTTGGGCAAAGAGGCAGCCCTTGTAACGGGCATGGGATTTGCCACCAACAGTAATACTCAACAGAAGCAGAGCTTATGTTTCGTCCCTATGCTTGCTTTCGAGCTGTACAACATAACCAATATGTTCCTGTTTGGAATGAAACCAAGCTGCAGGTACTTTCCTGGGTGCTTTGGCTATGACTGAAGGCGGACCAGGGGCTAAGAAGGTGGTCCGTACCTTAGCTCTAGTTTCATTCTAGTTTTGTCTCTTTGATGCTGCATAACGGACTATTATCCGTATTGGAATGTTTTTAGACTCTTTTTGTATCTGACCAGCTGAACCACAAGTCCATCGTGGAGGGTGTGAAGCAAAGCAACGCGAAGGTCATCGTTTTCAAGCATAACAATATGCATGACCTTGAGAAGATCCTTGATAGAGAGACCCGTAATAGGCATGTCTCTCTTACCAATACCATCCTTCTTCCACATCGGGTATTGTAGGCTCGGGAAAATGGGCTAAGATCGTTATACTGGTGGAAGGAATATTTTCCATGGAGGGCGAGTTCTGTAGATTGAGAGAAACGGTAAAACCAAGTAAACGGCATGTTCCCTTCCCTCATAGTAGTTTAAACTGGCAACATTCTACTGTAATGGTCAGGTGTCGCTGAAGAACAAGTATAAATGCTACCTTTGGTTGGATGAGGCTCATTCTATAGGAGCTGTTGGGCCTACTGGCCGAGGCATTTCTGAGCTGTTCGATGTTGGTAATAAGTGGCCGACCGCATCGCTCCGCTGTGTGGATGAAATCGAGCGCAGGATTTCCCTCGTTCATATGCAGGCTGTTGTATTAAATCATTGGCCTTATCACTTTCCTCGATAGAGTTCCTGCAGATACATCAGAGATCGACATCATGATGGGAACTTTCAGCAAGTCCTTTGGCTCTAATGGTGGATATATTGCCAGTACTAGCCAGTGCATTCAGGTAGGGCAGCTCGGAGAGGTAGTCTACCAGTGAAGTAGGATCTCATCGTTGGTCCTCAGCACCTTCGTCGCTGCTCCCTGGGTTGGATCCACGGAGCTGCGATGCCACCAATGGTCACAGCGCAGGCCATGGCCGTTTTGGACCTGCTGTCGACTGAGAGAGGCAAGACCAGGGTAGAGCTGATCATGGCTGGGGTACCTGAGCTCATTATTCACCAACAGTTACGTGCACTCCGAGAGAACGCAAACTATCTTCGAAAAGGTCTGATGGAACTCAATCTTCGCGTCATTGGCGATACTGACTCACCCGTCATCTGCTTTTTGCTGGTATACTTCCGACAACAGAGACTTTGATAGCATTGATAGTATAGATGGGCAGCGTAACGTTTTTTTACGGTTTACGTTACGGCGTGCGTAACGTAAGCAGTTTACGGTTACGGAAAGGCCGGTTACGACTTTACGGTTGGTGCTGAACTGCTTTGTTAGAATTGTGGCTGAAACATTCGCTGTAGTGCACTCCTTCATAGCTCAATTAGATGTTAACTCATCTTTCGTGGCTCGGTCCGAGCCGCTCGGATTCAACCGAACTGCTGAGAGAGTAACATTCGGATTGGCATTTACCACTCGTCTCCTTTGCAAATTTCGCCCATCATACTCCCAAGCTGGCCCGGAACTGCCAAGCCAGCTTCGTCTACCGATGGGCATTCACATAAAACAGATTCAGGCGACTTGAATGATCAATCCTCGTTTTGTCCTCTGCATCTCCGTAAAGCCCGTTACGGCGCCGTAATTTCACGGTACGGGACTTGAATCGTAACCGTAAAAGAGAACCGTAACGGTCCGTAACGTAATTCTGCCCATCTATAATTGATATGTTATTCGAGTGATAGGTTATTCCAGGTTCACCCTGAGAAGATCGCTCAGTTCTCAAGAGAGTGTTTGAAGAGGAATATAGCAACTGTTGTGGTACGTCGAGGACAATCGGGACTGCCCTTGGTCAGGGGTGGTCGTTGGTCAGGTTGGGTATCCTGCCACACCGGTAACTCTGGCTCGGGCCAGATTCTGTGTGAGTGCTAGCCATACGAAGGAGCAACTAGATACTACCCTTGAGGTTATGAAGGAGGTCTCCAGGATAGTGGGTGAGGTCTATTAGTGATGTCATCTCCCTCTGGATGTTTCTGTCTGACTCAGGCATCGAATACGGTAACAACACGGATGAGGTAGCATCTAGAGCATACAGAAAGTACCTCTCCGAGGCAGCAATCGTCAGCGATCCTTTGCCTGGCTTGGCGACCTATTGGAGGCCAGAGCCTCTGGTCCCTAGCTGGGTGGATGCGGAGGAGGGAGAGAATATGTCGAGTAAAAGTGAGGAGGGGATGGGAAGCTGTTATTGGTCTCTCTCTGGTCTTGAAGCTTGTGGGCCTTTGAGTGAACAAATCGCTGAGTTTGGGTCTAAGCGTAGACCGGTGGTCCTCATGATAGGTATCTCTACTACTGATTCAACCTCCCGGGATGGTTGCTCGAGTCATTCTGAGGATGAGCACGGCGACTCTTTGGTGGATTTCGCCACGATCGATCCGTTGTCACTCCAGCATAAGCCAGACGACAGCCTGATGGAGATTGCGAGGGCCGTCGTGAGGGAGAAGGGCTTCGGTACCTGCGGCCCGAGAGGCTTCTATGGTGGGCAGAATCCACCTCATTTGAGTAATTTACGGTATTGCAGGTACTACCGTTGAGCATTTGGACTTGGAGAAGGCTATCAGTGAGTTACTTGGAACAGAGGCATCCATTGTGTACAGTCATCATACTGTGTCCGACTCGAGCGTGGTGAGTAGTCATGACACCGTCGTTGGTTTAACCCGTATAATCTGATATGTGCTATACCCCCGGCAGATTCAAGCATTCCTTACTAACAACGACTTCGCTATAGTCCATAAGGATGCGAATGTTCATATGTGTACTGGTCTCAACCTTTCTCGTGTAAAGAACATTACTTGGTGGTCGGGCGACATCGATCAGCTGGCTAGTCTGGTAGAGGCACAGAGCAAAGACGTGAAGATAGCCGCGAGGGCTGGTAGGCTCTGGATCCTTATGGATAGCAACTATGGCGTGGATCTATCACAGGTCCGTAGATGAGCGATTTACTGGGCGAGCGAGATATGTGTGTTTTTTTCCAGGTCGTCGAGATTAAAGACGAATTTGGTGCCTATCTGCTGCTTGATGACACCTATGGCATCGGTACAGTGGGTGAGAATGGTCGAGGATATTGTGAATACTACGGAGTAAGACCGAGAGGTTTCATGCCAGGACTGTTATCAAGCTAGTTCAATCAGGTTCCATGTTCTTCCGTCGACCTCCTCGTAGGCTCCCTCGAGCACGCCTTCGGATCACAGGGGGGATTTTGTGCTGGACAGCAAACCAGCATTGATCACCAGACTCTTCATGGCAGCGGCTATTGTTTCAGCTCTAGCTCTCCACCGGCTTCTTGCAAGTTCGCAGCTGAGACGATGCGTCGTCTGCAAGGGAATGAGCGTCTTCGTTCCCTTCAAGCCAATGTTGAGCAACTGCACCAACGTCTAGTCGACGCTGGGGTAAAGGTTCTCACTGACTCGCAATGCTTCAAGCAGATTATTGAGGTTGGTGATGCCCAGAGTGTCGCACAATTTTTGAGAAGGGAGGGTTTTGCCGTTCAGCCTGTGCTGGTGTCACCACTAGAAAATGCCGGCTTCACTGCGTCGGAGCGGAAGAATACTATGTTGAGAATTTGTGTCCGTGCGGATCATACATCAGCCCAGATTGCCCAGCTTGGAACCTCTTTGAAGGGGCTGCATCCATCGTCGCTACTCTCGGTTCGTCAAGATGAGGGTAGCAACAGCTGTGTTTTTCGGACATTGCCCTCTTGTTCTCCGTATAGTGGTTAGGATTAGGCGTATAGAGGCTGGCATGACGTATTTATTTGATTACTATTAATATCTCCCTTTGCGTTTGACGTCATTTTAGTGCTGTGCCTTGTGAGTTTCTCCTCGCCACCTCGGTATAGACTAGCGGCAAGGAGCTAATCGTACTAGTGCTTCTGACGATGTGCACGAGCTGCTGATGGAGTGTCAACCCTTCGCTCAATGGTTGACTCCGTCGCTTCTCATGTCGTGCATTATTCTTTTGTCTTTTCGAACTTTTTCAGATAGCGGTCATGATGGTACGCTCCGCTCCAGTCGTATTATTACTCCTTCTAGGCTCCTCAATGGGAGTCTGCCTTACAGAGGGTTTTTAGCAGATTTTTAAACTTCGGATTAGTGGAATTTCCCTATTGCTATCAGTGATAAGTGCCCAGGTGAATGGCGAAAAGGTTATCGGACTATCCATCGACGACATCTCTTGGGACTATCACAATGAATAGCACCAGCTACTTTTCCGTATGACTTTCAAGCGAATTTCCGATGTACTTCCTGGTTTTTGTTCGAGTGTATCAATTGGAACGAGACTGGTATTGTGTGAACTCATCGCTGGAGTCATACTCTATGGGCGGCTAGATCCGCATTAACCGAGGGGCACGGTGTGGGCGTATGCGGCTCTTGAGCTTTTATGGGGAGTTGTAGCTACGACCTTTAGCTTCTTGGCAGAGTTTTGCCCCAGGAATTACTCTACAACATCTTGAGCTTGAGAAGGCCATGAAATACTCCAATACTTGAGTAGAGGCAGAGGCGGTCCTCCTTAGCAGCCATCGTGTTGTTAATGTTAGCAGTGCGGCAAGGCAACCCCGGGCCCTGCGATTTTCTTTGGTGTGGCTCAAACCTTCGTAAATGATCTCGCCATCGTCCACTAATACGCCATCTATCGTATACACACTGGGGCGAAGCTGTCTACAGATGCCAGAATGTTTCTTTATGGTCTGACAATATCGATGAGCTCTTCGGCTTGGTCGAGGCGATGATGTGTAAGGCTGTTCAGTATTGTCTCTCGTGTCTGGATCGGCATAGACGCTCAAGTGGGTGCCGATCCCAGGGAGGTAGGGTTCAATTAGTTTTCGCGAACTGGTGGTGGCAAGCTGTCCCTATCGCGTCGTCGATATCAAGTATTACTCCAAAGCTTATTGGTAACACCTGCACCATCGGCACCGTAGGCGCGGAACGTCGCTGTTAGTATGGACAATTTGCTGAGAGCAACGTTATTTGACGGGTTCGGAGAGATGGGCTCACTATTCTTGATGGGTCCGTTGGTCTTTCATGGATTGTTGACCTCGTCAGCTAGACTGTTCGGGTTTGCGTTTGCAGTTCATGAAAACGGAGCAAGCGGTTGTACGGCTTGGTTCTTGTTGAGTGTCAGTCCGTGTGCATGCGTGCAGCCTTTGTGGGTATAAGCTCACTCATCTTCGTCATATCTGGGATCGCATGTAGGGAGGTAAGGGTTGCTGATCAATTCCAGTTGGGTGACCGCTCCACTGCAACTTCGGCATGTCCGAATAGGAAATCTATCGTATTACCTAGAGGTCGATAAATCAACGTGGAAAGGTTATTATCGTGAATCTGGTTGGCGTCAGCGAAGTAATTAACGTGGTCCGATAGGTGTTTATAGAGGAAAACGAATGAACGATGACGGGATCTTTTCTGCCCTCGAGGTTGGGTATGGGAAGGCAATGATAGGTAGGCAAATCGCTGAATGCGGCTATCTATTGTTTTGTTGAGGTCTCGGCTGCGGTTGTCTGCTCGCGGGCATCGTTGGTGTGATGTCAGCATACAGCCGGAAGCGGTACCTCTTATCGGGGTAAGGCGAGGGTTGTCTCTGTTTGAGTGTAGGGTCGTAGGTATGTCCTCTTATCGGTGCTACTAGGAGGGAGCCTACTCGCTGTGTCATGCGTGGGAGCACTGAATCTTACTCAATGTGAACCACTACGGCTTCAGGTCCTAGCGGATGTCAGTCGTACCGATGCTGATAAGTTTGCCACTGTATGTGGTCGTCATCGGGATACTGGTAACTCCGACATGACAAGGCTCATCTCTTCTGGGACCTTTCAGGAGCCCTCTATGGATCCGAGCGGATGTTGATACTAATGAGTGAGTACGAGAGTATGAGTCAAGCCTTGAGCAACTGCATGGCGAAGTAGAAAGGCTCGTAATAGCGGCGCCTGTTATGGGTATTATGTTAGCCACACGAATACCTCTGCTGGAGGCTCCTTGGAGGAATGTCCAGGAGCTGTAGATGACCAACTTGTCCCATGGGAGGTCCATCGGTAGGATAGTGCCAAGGTCGGCTCGGAGGGCTAGGGCAGATATAGTGGACTGCTGAGGGAGGCTGAGAGGCGTTACCATTGTGGAGGTGCCTGCGAGCCTGGTACGCCCCTGTTCGGCTGGTCGGAGGGTGCAGGCAAAGGAGGTGTAGGAGTGATGCGTTGACAGAGTTGTATTCGTTTACTAGGGAGGGCTTCGAGATGGGGTCGGGGATAAGCCGCTAGAGCCTTGTGTGAAGGGCATCATGGAGGATCTCCAAGGGCAGGCTAATGCGAACGCGTAAGAGGCGCTGTAGAGTAGGAGACTCCTCCTCGTGTGCAGTACTCTATCGCTGGCTACTGCGATACCGCTGTTGTTGTCGGGCTTGTGTGGGGCTCTACTGTGCTGCAGTAGAGCTCAGAAGCGGCTCGAGGGTCGTCGGCAGCAGCAGCAGCAGCAACACGGCCTCTACCAGCTGGCACCATCAAGTGAGCCGGTATTGCAGCGGCCTTTCATCTGTGCCTCCTGGTAGCTGAGCAGCTCGGCTTGCTGTCCATAATGCTGGGTGAGGATAGCACTGAAGACAGTGATGATGAAAACTGATGCCATCATGCCATCATGTTTCACCATTGTTTTTACTTTACCCTGTCGGGCTCTAGTCGTATCCATCGGACCCGGGTGGTAGTGCGAAACTATTTCTTTTGTGTTCAGCTGAGTATTTTTGAATAATGTCTCCCCGACTCGGTACCTTCCTGTTGAAGGCCCTCGTTCTGTTGGGATATGCTCATGCTTGGGGAGAGGATGGTCACTCCATCGTAGCGGCAATTGCTCAGCGGATAGTATCTGATAGAGTCAGTAATAGGGGGTTCACCGGACACGCACCAAGTTGTTGCTGAAAGCATTATAGTTCCGAGAGAGCTCGTGAATGTATTTTTTATACGGTCTCGCTGCGGAGGGCTCGCTGAGGACGCCTTCACGTGACATTTAGTCTCATTTCCCATGGAAGATGTCGATGATGTCCTTATCAGTTGAGGGGGTGAACGAAACACTTGGTAGAGGACAGGATATGATAGGCGTCGCCTGTTGGGCTGACAAGGCCTCTCATAGTGCTCAGTAATACGGAGTGTGTTCAGCTGCTGCTCATGAGCGACGCTGATTGCGAAGGTATCGATGGACAGCTCCCCTTCACTTCGTCGATACTCCTACCAAGCAGTGTCAGATGGTCTATGAACGTGACTGTCGTGATGATTTTTGTGTTATTGGCGCCATTTATAATTACACTAATAGAGCTATTGTAATAGAAGGAGATGAGGTTACCTCGGTATGGATACAGTGTGTTCGGCCTCGGACTCGGGTATCTCTACTGTATTACTATAAAGGGTGATTTAGAGTGCTAATCGCATTATATGGTAACTCAGTGTATCTTTAATCGAGACTAAGTCGGACGTGTTCTGAATGACATTCAAGAGCCAGCGATAAACGAAGGTTGACATCTTCTCTCACTTGATCTCGATGAAGCTCTGGCTGACTTCAATCTCGGCGCTATTTTGTATTCAGTCGAAGAGCGTCTCTCGGGCGGAACGCGAGTTCGCCATGAAACTGGTGATACATTTTCTCGGGGACATCCATCAGCCCTTGCATGTGGGTTTCGGGGGTGATCGCGGTGGAAACAATATTCACGTAAGTTCACCGGCGACTACACGACTGCATGTAGTCGAGTTAAGGTTACCACCGACTTTGCACCTCCTGGTCCCCGTCACAAGGTATCGAGTAAGCTTCATCAGGTGTGGGATAGTGGTTTGATATTACAGTAGGGCGGAAGGATTCCGAGTTGATAGTGATGAGGATCTTTTTCACAATTAGAGACGAGTTCGAGCTACGCGTTCAACGTCGTAGAGAGCACAGGAAGATACCGCCGCATCCTCCGTATAGACATAAATTCGAGGAGAGATGGTATTAATGGGCAGAATAACAGCGATTATCCACAGGGATATCTGCGATAGTTGCTAATATCACTAGTTAGTCGACTGAGGTTGATCGTACTCACCAGTGCAGCATAAGATCCCGTATCTGCTGATCAGGCATGAGCTCTTCGAGCACCTGTGGACAAAGCTGTCCAAGGGTGGGGAGTATGCCAAGCACCGTGAGGAGTGGCTGGCACCATGTCGACAGAATGGTCTTCAAGAATGCACCAAGACGATGGCTGAAGAGAGTCTAGCAGTGGCCTGCACTGCTGCGTGGGTGTCCATTACCCACCTCGTGTTTCAGTGGAGACAATAGGTACCATGATGAGTACCGCCGATGGATTGCAGATGGGGACGTGCTGGACCGCAATTACTTTCTTACGCGGAACCCGCTGATGGAGGAGCAGTTGGCCAAAGGAGGGGTACTGCCGTTCTTCAGCTTGGAAATGCCCAACAGCGTACTCACCCGGGTTTCGTGGTGTAGGTTCGGCTCGCCTGGGTACTTCAGCAGATGTTCGGCAGCAACCGTCATCGTCATCGGGGTCGCAAGCCGACAACGGGCGAAGATGTGGTAGTCGAGTATGTGTAGTGTTTGCGAAATTAGTTTTTTGATGCCGTCGGGGCCCTCGAGGGCACGCCGGTTGCAGAGAAGTGCATATTTCTATCAAAAGTTCATCCGGTTGCGTTGGTCTGCTCTTGTTATTGTCCATATGGGCCACTCTGATCTTGAAAAATTGTATTAGGGACAGCGCCTCTTCCTTCAATGTGGCCCACGCCCCCACAGGGCTCCAACAGCGGCAACATGGCTGCGTATCAGGCCATGCTGTGGCAGCAGCAACAGCAGCAGCAGCAGCAGCAGCAGCAGCAACAACAACAACAACAACAACAACAACAACAACAACAACAACAACAACAACAACAGCAGCAGCAGCAGCAGCAGTGGTAGGGCCTAGGGGGTGCTGGATTGGATGCTTGTTGTACCTTATTGGCAACCACTACGATTTTTTTCCAATTCTGCGTCTACTAACGTATTGATTGGCGATGTCCCCCTCAACGACAGAGTGTCGGCTGCTGGCCGAACGTGAGTGCCACCCAGCACCTTCCTGGTTACACCATTCAACGTCTCCGTGTATAGTCACCACTGTGCTGCTAATGGCGACTTTCAGGCCTGGCAGCGCGCCGTCTGCTCTGCCGCGGATCCCCCCACCCGGGATGCTGGGCGTCCCGCCACCGATACCTCAGCATGTGGCCTCGATCGGCATGCCTCCGGTGATGCCGCCTATGATGCCCTTCGTACCCCTCGTAGCACCACCGATGCCCATGGCTAGGCACGGAGCAGCCATCCAGGGGGTAGGTCGCGAGGGACAAGCTGACGATTGTTCATTCAATACTCAGCCTCATGAAGTGGTAAAACGCCTCTTCCCTCAGGCTTCATCTTCGAGTTCGATTGAGCCGATGAGAGCAGCAGCGTGAGACCCCAAGAGCGCTGTATGTGCACCAACCATAGTTTGTTGGTCTTCTGACAGGCCTGTCTGGGAGCGAGTCCATCTCCCTTCTGATACCGCGGCTCGAGAAGCACTCCGATCGAAGCTTCTTGAATGGGATATGGAATTGGATGCCCATGGAGAGGCACTGCAAGGGAGTGCCCATCTTGCTGAAGGTAGCAGTGGTAGTAGCCGTACATGTAATAGACTACGGTGTTACTTCAGACATCCGCCACGCCGTGAACGAGCTTTGTACTAGTGTGTCTGAGCAGCAACGTATACAGATGTCATTGTACAGTGCAATGGGTCATGGTAAAGGACGGAGAGGGGGCACGCAGTATTACAGTAGGTGAGGTCGCTGTTGAGCTGTCGAACTGCTGAGCTTTTAGGCAACAAGGTAAGCCTGCATAGGGCGAATCTACAGGGTCTCCAGCAAGCCATGGAGAAGGTAGTGTTGCTATCGCCATCGATTCTGGAGTTGAGTATCACTTGTGGCAGCAGATAACAACGTCATTGCAGTCGTTGGATGAGGACAAATGTCCAGCTCTATCGGAGTGGCTGAACGGTCTCACCGCCACTACCGACAAGGTCAATGGGGCCTTCCTTCATCAGGATCTGTCGGAGAAGGTAGGAGGCCGCACCTGCCTCTGGTTGGCCCGGGTCCTGTTGGTTTTGTGAGGCTGCAGTGTCTTCAGGTGGTGGACCCATCCAGCTTCGTCTCCGGGTTGGAGAGCATTCGAGATGCCATTAAAGCGTGCGATCCATCTCAGAATGTGAGAAGGGCTCGGCATTCATCGTTTGTGATTTTTGTTGCCAGACTCAAGTCGTTGGCAGTATTGGTCAAAAGTTGGGGACGCTGGTCACAGAAATTGCGCGGTTTCTGACGGAGGTAGATGGTTACGAAGAATCCATGGTGGCACTGTGCTATGGCAGTCTCGGCAAACACTCCAGAGGATCGTCAATCGGCTTAGTCAAGAGGAATCGATGCCATCCCCGACAGAGGAGGTAGGGCCAAGCACTGCGAGAATAGGTATTGCTGTAACTGGAATACTGTCAGGCCTCTGTTACTAGTTGTAGTTGGAACCCTGCCTTGGATCACCTCCCGATAGATGACCACCGGCCTACCATAATGGATCGTATCACCAAACAGACGGTTACGCTCATCCACGGCGACACAGGTAAGCTCAGTCGATGTAAGCAGACCTTCAGACCACCGGCTCGGCTCAGGCTGCGGGAAGAGCTCGAGAGTACCACAATTCATAATAGAGGCGGATCCCAACGCCAAGATCGTCGTAACCCAGCCAAGGAGGCTGGCAGCTATCACGTTAGCCCACCGAGTGCGAGATGAGGTAGATTCTTGCGCGCCACGAAATTCATGTCTATTGAGTCGAGCATGCTGTTCCCCTGTGTGCTTCAGCTCACAGCGTGTGGCAAGGATGGTGCCTCCTTGGTCGGGTATCGAATAGGTGGAGGAGAGAGAAGCGAATCATCAGGCGCTGAAGAGCCTCGGATTCTCTTCGTTACTACAGGCTATCTCCTCCAGAGTCTCGTCCAAGACCCCATACGACTGTACACCAAGTGGACCCATGTAAGGCGAGCATATATCTCTGTTCCGTCCATTGCAAATTCTTAAGGCTCCCAATAGGGCATCTGTCTAGCGATAGCACGAGCTGACGGAATGGGGGTATGTAGCAATTACTGCTTTGTAGGTCATACTGGACGAAGCACATGAGCGTGGTATGGATGTCGATCTGGTGATGTCTATAGTACGACTGATGAGAAGGCAGTCGGTGTCCCCTGACTTCAAGATAGTCGTAATGAGCGCAACTCTACAGGGCAAGGTAACTGTTACTTTTATTGACGAGACTAGGCTTGTATACTATAGGTGCTCGCTGACTATTTCCGGGATCTCAATGCTGGTGTCTCGGGTGGGTCGTTGAAGCCTATATACGTCGGTGTCAAACGATTCGCAGTGGAGAGGTGTGTCACTTTTTTCGCCGTGCTTTGCTATCTCCGCCGGGGTTAGTTACTACCTCGATGATCTCTGGGGTCTGTCTCGGCCCCCTGACCCCTCATCTACTACTGTAGCTGACACACTGAGAGCTCGGAATTCAGTTTCAAAGGTGGGTTAAGCGGGCCTTGTGTATGGTGAAATGCCAGGGTTTCTATCAGATATTAGCGAGTGATGCAACCGAGGGAATCAACAAGCTCACTAAACTTCAAGTGGATTAGCTGATTTGATGCTCTCTGTATATCAGCATTTCCCTTTTCAGGACTCGGCGATCGAGGCCGTAGAGAGCAAGATGGTCCCTGGTGGCACAATAGGACTAGTGGATCTCAAGGACAGTCTGGACCTCTGGGGTGACTCTCTGGGGGTACGATTCTACTGCCTGCTTAGCCGCTTTGTGGTATCATCTTGTTTGGCATTGTTCAGCCCTCGGCGGCCCCAGACTGCGTCACCAAACTGGCGGCCGTGAATCAGGCAGCCAACCTCTCGCCATCGACGAAGTACGAAGTTGATCTTTCCATTGCTATGCTTCATCCGCCTCGTAATGGCTCTGCGCTTCTCGTCCGATCGCTTCATCTCGAGAGTTCTATGTTCGTGCCTTGTGTCGCTCCCTTCGCAGCTTACCCTCCTACACTGACCGCATCACAGGCGGTACCTCATAAGTCGCTCTGTGGGAACGGCTTTCTGGTGCACCCCGAGGTGGTCTCCTACTCGTATGGGGGTCTTTGATTAATTATCAATGATTGCTACGTACCTTTGTTATGCTATTACATGGCTCAGGTACGATGTGTTGGTCTGGAGGCTCATTCAGCACTTTTGTGATGGTGGGGATAGCGTGATCGTATTCTTACCTGGTATTGCGGAGATCTTCGACCTCAATAACTACTATAGGTCTATGATCGAACCGACACTCATCGGGGTGAGGTCACTGTCTTTCCGTTCACTATTACTCCATTGTTAGAGAGCAGGTACGATGTGAAGTGGTGGTACTGCATAGCACAGTCCCTATACAGTACGACAGTGAGGGCAATCTACCTAGGCCTGGGCCAACAGAAGTCCGAGTGTAAGGAGGCCTCAACAGTCCCGACTTGATGGAGGCTTTCTTAGGTATCTATCTACCAATATAGCCGAATCAAGCGTCACCATACCGGGGGTTAAACTCGTCATAGACACGTGTATTGCGAGGCAGGTATGTTTTGTGTCAGCTACCAACACGAGGTCGATCGGTTTCTCCGTGTTAGGTTGTATACGACCAGACGCGCGAGACGGTTGGGGATACGTCTTACCGAGCTACCTTGAAGAATGTATGGACGAGCCAAGCATCGTCAATGCAGAGAATGGGCCGTGCTGGTAGAGAGAGTAACGGCTTATGCGTAAGGGACTTTTCTTGGCAATACGGCATGGCTCACTGCTCTAGATACGCCTGGTGACGCGGAGATGGTTCAAGACTGGTATGGCAAAGTATGACACCTGTGAGATGCGACGTGCTCCTTTGGAGAAGATTTACCTCAACAGCAAGTACCTATGTCAGCAGCTGATGAAAAGAATGCCTAGGCTTGGGTAGGCGACCGTCCCTGTTGTGCTCCCGCATTCTTCATTATCATTTAGGCTGCTAACTGCGAGGTCATTGCTACTCGAACACACTCCCGAACCGCCGGTAGGAGCTGCTGTTGTCAGCGGTTGCTAATATGGAGGATTGCCTTCAGGGTTTGGCCTCACTGAATGCTACAGTAGATGCACTAGAGCGGTATGGCGCTTTGACGCCGAGCCCAACAGGGACCGAGTAATCGAACAACTTCGCAATTTTTGCATCGCTGAGGATACCGGTCCTCAGGCAATTGTCGGAGATAACCATTCTGGGGAAACTGTGCATCATCATGCCATTGGAGTTGAGACTGTGCAAAATAGTAAGGTGTGTGATAGGCTTCTAGTATCCATGGCACTTTGTAGATCCTACTGAGCGTCTGGCTGGGCTGTGCTCTGGACGGGGTACTCATCGCCTCCGCCCTCTCCTCACAGGATCCATTCACAATGCCTAGCATGCTAGTCATGAAAGAATGGAGACAGTTTGGGCGGAGTGCTAGATCAAGCTTCGAGACTAGGTAGGTTTGTTATCGTGTTATCGGGTGAGGGTCCTGACTCTACAACAGGTCTCGTATGGACGCCGGGTCGTACTCGGAGCCATTGATGCTCCGCAATCTCTTGCGGAACTGGCTTGTGGCGTACTATCACTCAGGCGGGGCGGACGGCAGCGATCGGCAGAGCATTTTGAAGCACACTATGGAATTCTGCAGGTGAGTCTAGTTGTTCCTGTGGTGGGGATAGTCCTATTGAGGACAGGTCTACGAAATTGGCGGTGATACCTCAACGGCTGACAAACATCATCATGACTGTCATGGACGTGAGCAATAGGCTATTAGGCCTCTTACAACCCGACACCTTGGCCCACAGACAAGTAGGCTGAGGAAGGGTCCCTTGGTATCTCCGTCTGTTTCTACTGCGAGCCCGATTCTTTTCTACACTATATGTCGAGGCTCTGCCTGACGCTCTTTCGATATCCTGCTGTTGCAGATATCCTGTCTGCTTGAGCTATTGGGTTTGGGAGATGATGTGGCCAAGAAGGAGGTGGTCGAGAGCCTGGAGAGTTTTGGTGCAGCAGACGATGCATTGATGCAAGTAGGTGGTTAGGTTGCCTCTCGTGGTTACCTCATTCCTCGCTAGGCGATGCTGTGCGGCGCGTTTATGCCCAACCTCGTGGTGGGCCATCCAGGAAAGCCGTCGAGTGACTGCGAAGAGTCTCCTCTCACCCTCAGTCTTCAGATGGAAGTGAGTCAGCTCTTCTTCAGATCATCTTGAATCGATTGTATGGGTAACAAGCTACAGTGTCATGGTCTGCATAGACGGATCGCTATTAGAATGCCCTTCAAGCCGCCAATCCTGCTTGAGCGGCCGAGAGAGTTCATCACGGGTTCGGACCCTGCTCGAGCATTATCTTCGTCGGTTTCAGAATCCTACCGAGGTCAGAGTAGCGGCACTACGCGAGGGTCTGATGTCCAGCGGTGTTCTGAGCAATAAAGACAGAGTTGCTATAGAAGCCACTCACACTGGGGTAGTCCTCCGAGCATCTCCTCGGCGGCGAGGCGAAGCAATGAAGCGTGAGAAACTCAGTGATGATGATAAGGAGGAGCGAGCTAGGAAGCGGCGTGTGACTGCGGTGGGTATGACAGCGATGGATGAGGATCTGAAGGCATTGAACGAACTTGCCGAGGTGAGCTCTCGAGGATATGATATCGGAGGTGTTGAATGATGTCTGCCAGATACAGGTAGATGGGCGAAGTGAAGAAGACGAGAAGGAAAAAAGTAGTCGTGACTCCTATAGAGCGCAGAGTGGTGAGGTAATCCAGTGGCAGGTTGCGACAATACACTGGGGGTAACCTGGAACGATGCTGAGGATGCATGGGTTGTCAAGAGGAAGGAGGCTATAGGAGGTATACTAGCCTACATCACTTTCTCTATGACCCCTTTCTTCACAGGCAAAGACATAGTAATTCGAAAAGCCTTCGTGGCTGATGAGAATACGAGCATAGTGAAGTCCCGTATGGATGCTATTAATTGGTGATTTGCAGAGGCAACTTCAATTGATTGTACGTCCTACGTAGGTTCCTCGGAGGTTCGGCTGCTCTCGAGTTTCCAGCTGAGCTTAGCCCCCCTTTCGAGGACGTTACTTCTGTATTGAAACTCCTTACTAGCGTGCTCGCCAACTGTCAAAAGGGTCGGCCCGGTCAACTGAGTGCCTTACCTAGCTCGGAAGGGGAAGTAGTCATGCACCATCATGGCAGCATCTGGACAATCCTGTTTAGATTTCTGTCCAGCCTATAGAGAGGAAGGCGGCAGTGCGATGGAGGACCGTGGGAGATCCCGTGGGCGAGGGTGGGTGTGACGATGGGGGTACCGCAGCCATATGCAATTGGCGGAATGTTCTGGGGAGCCTTGCCGACTACGAGGAAGGATCCCAGCACAAAACGTATGCCATTGAAATCTCGAGCCACAGATTGTACATCACTCGAGCTATGTCAGGTTTTTTGCTGTTTTTGCATCATTGCAGTCTGTTGGTAAACAGTGTATGGTGGACGGAGTGACATTATTGAACCCCACTAATGCGCTTTCCTTAATCCTCTGCTTCCTAGGGACGAGGTAGCGACCGCTCCCTGCAACACTCCGAACGCTTCTTGCTATGGTTAGATATCATCGAGTTGACGTCACGGTGAACATATTTGCCCGGCGGGTGACCTCTGTGGAAGTCATGTCCCTCCAAATGGATAACCTTGATATCCCGCTTGACGTCTTCACGAATATCGACAGGATTCGTCGAGAATTGAATCGGATTTTTGAAGGTATGATGATACCAACTGTTTTCGGCTCATCCTTGGGCACATCTTCAGCATCGAGTGCGAACTTCGCGAAGCTGTTACGAGAGTCTCGAGCCCTCCCTCGGTATTTGTCGGAGATGCTAGTACCGTGGGAGGATGCCGAATCGATTCCTGCTGCCTTTGAACTTCTCAAGGAGGAGTACAACCAGAACCTGGCTGCCGATCCCGAGTTCGAGATGAACCCCACTGTTACACTGCATCTCTCCGAGAACGTATCTACTCCGGCAACGTCGTCGACTGAGCCAAGCAACAGCGGTTTTATATCATGGGATGGTGGAGCGGTTCCGCACTCGGCCAATCAGCAGTCGATTGCTGAGGCTAACACGGAGTTGCTACCTTGCTACGATCTGGAAGCGAAGGTGGAGGATCGTATACGCCGGCACAATAGTGTAAGCTGGAAGGAACTGGGTCAGCCGATCCCGTCTATCCAGCAACTCCGTTGTACTGCTGCTCCTCTTTAGCTCATGAAGTCGCTCACCCGTTTTGCCGGGTATTCGGATGTTATTGAGACTCACTTATTTCGAGCAGCCTCTGCTAGGAAGGCTCTTGATCGCGCTACCCAAGAACCGGACGTCACGAGGCGTGCCGAAGCTATCGCCAAGTACTCCACTTCTCAGAATGCTAGTCGGGGCTGTTCAGTAGTCCATCGTATCCTTCAGAGTCTTCGACCTTCTCACTCGATGTGGCGAGGGTTTAGCTGAGGTTCAGAATGAGCTCACCGCGTTTGAGCGAGAGTGGACATCACTGGACGCAGACGAAGAGGTAAGTCCGGCAAATGTTGTTTCTCCTGAGTGAGCTGATGCCCTTCTCAGGGTGCACCCAAGGTGATGCGTGGGAGAGCGAAGTACATTTCGGACGTTGTCCGCACGAAAGCTGACAAGTGCCGCTCTATCGTTGCGGAAATCAACGCTGAAGGACTTCGAGCACTCGACGATATTCAGAGTTGCATAGCAGAGTCGAACTCTGTGTCATCAGCTTGACTCACGTTTCGCTTCAACTTGTGGTGTTCGTGTCCGCCTCCCGTTCGTCTCATTGCTTTCTTCATGACAGGTTAGGATTGTAACAATCCTAATCTGTATCCATGGCAGCTATCTGATTTTCTATGAACCCTGATGCACCCTGAGATCATCGCGTCTCCCACCAGGAAACGGATAGTAGCCTGCTATTAGAAGTGTAACTGGCTCAGTAAGGAGTTCGAGATCAGGCCAATAAATGAAATGCGTCGGGAAATATCGTCATGTGAAGGGGTGGGTTACCTTGTAAGCCGTTAGGCTGGATGGTGTCGGGAAGTGAACTTTCACTTGCATTTTCTTGTCTCTATGTCCGACAAATCAGGATGGTTATCATCCTGAGCGCCTCCGCTCCTGTACTTGAGGATATTCGCGAAGTGACTCTCTGGCTTCACTTGATACCGACATGTTCTATGACTCCCCTCCTGAGACACAGTTTCGATAAAGCTTTCGTCTCGCGGTCTCGTGCTGGATAGTCGCTGAATTATCACACCTGTGTGGCGACTCACGACTAAGTACTAATATAAGTTATATTATACACCAACATTTCCGGACGACTATACGCTTGATGCAGACTAGTAGGAAACCTCTTGCCGAATATCTCGTCTAGAGCGGTCTCGGCTTTAGGAGTGATCGGTCAGGCAGTCTGACCAGGGTAGTCTGACTCAGACTACTCGGCGATAGAACGTGCATGTCCAGGGACATGGATCGACTGTCACTCGGGGGTATTAACTGCGCAACAGTTGCGCAGTTGCGCCGCAACTAGTTGACGACGTAACTCATCATGAGTTACTCATGCCACAATGGCCATGTCGAAATTTGAGCAGTCGCTCTTCAGATGATAAGATCAGAAGCATCTCAAGAAAACGCAAAGGCTGTGAATTACAATCGCAGGTGCGGATAGGTGGAAATCTGCGGTTTGACTGTCGAACTTTGACACCTCGGATGCTGTAATCGCCGATTACAATTACCAATTACCGTAATTGGTAAGAAGATGTATAACAATCGAAATTTTCGCTTCGAAAGTTGAAGGCGGAGAGAATGAAGGAATTGGTACTCACAGCATCTCATAGCAATCCATACTCACAGCAATCCCCTCGAAGTCGAGAGCTCGTTCATTCCAGAACAAGAAAGGTGAAAAAGTGACATAAAGAGTTTGGTAGCTTCTCACTCATAGCACTGTTGAAGAGGTTGCTGTGAGCTATCCATGAATTCGTTGATGACTTCCATGACACCACGGGGATCCTCACTTACAGGGGAGAGGCTCCCGCCGGAAACCTGCGCATATATTCACTAAAAAGGCTATCACACACTGTGGCGTGTAGGCTAAATCATCGGCGACTGTCAACACCTATGTAGGAAAACATGTGGCCTTATGTATGGCCTCCAACCTACACGGACACCAGGTTGCAGTAAGCCCGGGAGAGAGAAGTCCGAATTGACCAGAACGGAGGGAATAAACCGATAAGAAATCTGAAGACAGCCTCATGATGGTATCGCCTCTCCGCTAAAACTTGAAACTTCGCCAAGAAAATTTTCTCACTTCAGCATTAGCGCCAATGAATTTTTCGCCTACTCTCAGGGAGGATTTGAGTTCTGGTCGCCGCAAGAAAGAGATAGCCAAGAGAAAACCCTGTTGATAGCGAGGGTCATAGGAAGACGCACTTGTTAACTACAAGGCTTTAGCAATCGCATCGAGAGGAACTGCTAGCTATAGAACACTGCTGAAATCATGCTGAACTCCATCTTGATCTGCAGTACCCTGTCTGCGCCACATGACAAGCTGAAAACGGTGAAGGTGACGGAACCACACCTCTATAATAGAGGCTCTATTACTGTAGTAGTATTACATGACTCGGGTTCTCCTTCAGACACTAACTCGGATGGTGATAGGAAGTGGGTCTCCAAAGGAGATTGGCGGGTGGGGATCAATGGAGACTCTCGCATCACTATTTCCGCTCGCGTGACGTTCCGTCGACTTGTGATTTATGGGTTACCTCTCTATAGATGTTTCTCCGTCACCAACACCCCCGCCAAATGTAGTTCCTCAATTCATACAGAGGAGTGCCGCTGGTGTCTCCAATGTTATGCCTTTCGGCTCAAGGAAGAGCGCGTCCTAATGGAGGTCCATCGATGAGAAAAGAGTCGGTTGAAATTGCTCCATGTTTGCGAGTGGCTCTTCTAGTTGACTCTGGTCCAGAGGCTCCGGATCGAAGGTAGCTGCCGGTTAGATATCCCGGATGGCCGCCCGGGGTCTCCTCGAAGGCGCAGGGCCCGTATATCCTGGATAGCCTGCTATCACCTACCTCGGTATCAGTTCTGTAGGATCGTAGTTCGATGGTACTTGGGATCGATCGGCTTTCTGGGCTCTCGTGCTGCACAAATGATCCGGAGCGCCGATGCCCTTGTACCCCTCACAGGGAGGTATTCAGGCTCCTGGTTCCTGCTTGCTCAAGAGTTGATAGTTTAACTATCAACACTCAGAATAAGAGGTTAGCTATCATAGTTAACATTTTATTCTCGCAAGAATAGAACTTGTACTTGAAATCTTTTCTTGTAAGAGCCGAGTCGGCTCAGCCGACCTGACTTGAGCAGTGATCGGCCAGACTATCAAGTGCTTGATACACTCGTCACCTTTGTGCTTATCGAAGTGAGTTGGCGTCCAGCACTAAGGTGCTGGGCGTCTGGAAAATGTCGTCGTCCCACCCTTCCCATCCAGGGGCTTGCCTGGTAGGAACGTTCCCTCCCTGGCTGATCAATTCGCGACACGATCTCTTTCCTCAATGTTACGCAAGATCGCGGACGAAAGCCCGGAATTTCCTTGGTGATAGCTCGCGCATGCCCGAAAACATGGCTCGACTGTCACAACTGAATTTTTCAGGCTACCATTCGGGGATAGTAACTGCACAACTAGTTAATGGAATGACAGATACCCCAATGGACATATCAACATTGTCATCAACGAGTAACGTCGACTAACTTAGTTAGTTGTAGACCACAGCTTTTAGCCGTAGAAAGCATAGGATGGTTATATGAACGAACTGTGAGTAGTCCTAGTAGTTACTCGTGAAAGGATAAGACCCAAAGAATGTAGACATGAAGCTCACAAGTATACGCACATTTCACACGTGCGAAAAGGTCAAAAAGTTGCGATTGCGCATTTCGGATGATATAATTGGTGATTAATGATAAGTTGAGGACCAAAAAAGACAGCCAAGAGAATATCTCGTTCACCTCAGAACAACCAAGACAACGGAGTGACATGAAGAATCTGGCAGCACATCCCCCAAAACACTGTTCAGGAGGTTGTTATGAGCCATTCATGAAGTCATTGATGGCTTCCATGACTCCACGGGGATTATCGCGCGCAGCGAGGTGGCCCGCCCCGTAAACCTGCGTATATATTCACTAAAAAGGCTATGACACACTGTGGCCGGGTTTACTTGTACAAACTCGTATTCGTGATTACTGCTGCTTCGTCGCAACCCAACAACCCGACCGGTACTATCCTGAATGAAGCAGGGGTGTTATCCAATCTATCGAAACGACCATGGAACCTTTTTAGACCTCAAGTGAGTCCCGGCAGAGTCTGAGTGTATGCTTATTCTTCCTTTCGACTGTCTCACCTTGAACTCCACATCCTTGGCGCTCCGGAAGGCATCTTTACCGGGCCAATCCAAGTCGAGCATCCACGTTTTCAGACCCATGAAGTTACAGATATAGTCTAAGTCACCGACAACGGTCAACACCTAAGTTATGTACAGAAGATACTCTAACCCATGCTATGATCTTCAACTTACACGAACGCCAGACTGCAGTAGGCCCGGGAGAAAGAAGTCCGAAGTGACCAGAATGAAGGGAATAAGCTGATTATAAACCTGAAGACCGTCTCTGATGATATCGTCTGCCCTAGGAGGCATGAAGCTTCACGTAAGAATTACTCAGAATTTTTTTCTGAGATTTCCTCACCTCATCATTATCGATGATGAATTGTTCGCTCACTCCGAGGAAGGTTTTGACTTCCGGTAGCTGCATGAATGAATCAACCTAGGGAAAAATCAGGAATTACTCAAACCAGGTAGACGCCTTCCCCGAGTCCTCATTGACTCCAATGAGGAGAGCTCACGTAGAGCGAGCCTTACATTTGGGGGGTCTCCCTCGTTGTTGCATCCATGCCGGTCTGGATGGGCACATTTGGTCGTAAGTTTATAGCTGACATGACTGTTATTTCGGATATCTGTTCAAGATAACCTGTAAGTGACTCACAAGTCCACTCCATTGTCGACCAGCGCAGTTAGAGATAGTTCTTCACACTGCTCACGGGCTGCCCTGCAGACGTTCGCTGGAGAAGAAATAATTGGCTCGATCCAAACTATCATGAAGTACGCTCCCTATTGCAGTTCTGTATCTTTTGCAGGCACCCGGGCATCCCTTGTTTCATTTGATCGTACCTTGTCGAATGGGAAAAGTCTATCACACTCATATCAGAGAGTGTAGGCACTATCAATATCTCTATGATGGGCTATCATAGAGATACGTTTGAAAGAGAGTATATATAGATATTGTTCCAATATCACTACCCCTCTACCGTGATACTATTTTTTGGTATCATTATGAGACTAACATGGTGTTCTACTAAGGCTCATTCGGGCCTTCTTTTCTTCGACAGTGGGTTCGACATGGATATCCAGAGTCATATACCAGTCTCAGACCGTACGACGATACTCACTGCTGCTTTGTGATGGCAGGCGCCGCAGTTTCGCTCTTGAAGGCCATCTCGGGATACAAGGGCCACCTGAAGTTAAGGAAGTGGAAGAGATACAAAGTGAAGGGTGGCTACTGAGCTTCGGCATTTATCATTGCGTTCTGGAAAATGATGCCCTTGAGGTTTATTGGGGGTTCGCTACCTTGTTTCAAAGCATGTGCGATCTGTGGGAGCAGAACGCCTGAAATACGCAGAACATCGTAATGATAGTGATATGAATGTTGTGCGTTCTATCACCCGCAAATGAGATCCCGACCAGATAGAAAGGGCCTTTGTACTTGGGGAATCGACTGAAAAACTGCCCTAAGAATCTGTATCTGATGATGATTGAGGAGATCCAACGAAATCCCATGAGATGCGCACTAACATGTTCATCACAGTCTCTCCTACGGCTTTCTCAGGTGGCCCTCCTTTGCTGTATCCCACCCCGGTGGGTTGATCCAACCAGATGCCATTTGCTTTGTTAGTCCACGAGTTCCTGAAACATTCATCTTGAGAATCATCAATGTGGACATCTTACGGGTTGATGGATGCCGCTGTTCCTTCTTTGTTTACCATGCAAGGACCGTTGTATCCGACCCCTGAAGCAGTTCCGCTCCCGCCTGGGCCACCATCAACCCATAGGAAGATCGGATCAGTTGCTGGATCGTTCCTCGATTCGAAGAACCAGAAGAAGTACCTGCCGACAGATCGCTCGCCGTAGCAGTAAACGGTAGTTCTCACTCCCTCTGTGGGTTTCCCGGGTCCACAGCATATCGCCCATGAACTTGCTCGACGTTGGGATCACAGAGCCCCCCTTTGCCATTAGTAATAACCTTGAGACCCTCCCAAGTAGTGTTCGTAGGACCTGTTTCATTATGAGACACATCTGGGGCTACATAAAGAGCTTCAAGCGTCCACAGGAGGCTGCTCAACCATAACGAACTCGCAGTAAAGAGCATGAGGGATGTTACTCAACTGCCTGAAGGAAATCTACATTTGAGTACAGGAAATCCGGACGAGGACATCATCGGGTCGTCGATTGATACTTTAGGTAGTCTATGCTAGTGACTCTGGCAAAATATTCCTGCGATCGACAAGGTTGGCAAGGGTGCCATTAGTAATCCTTAAAAAGTCTAACGGAAGACTCTAAAGGCGATCGATCGTTTAACGCATGCACACGTTAGTTACGCGTAGGACTCTCTCGGCGCCCTATACTGTCTAGTAGACAGTGTCTACTCACCACAGGCAGGGCCGCACAGTGGGACAACGTAGAGGGTGGCTGATGATGGCCCGGCCATCATGGCCGAACGAAGTCGATTTGATTGAAAGCTTAATGGAGTGTTGCGGCAGTGAAGTCATTCCTGTAACGGGAGAGTATGCAAATACGTGCAAGATACGAGTGCGACCATCCCGTGGAAGTTCCACGGTGGAACTCAACCAAGCAATTCCTCGGTTCCATGTGGAGCAGCTATGCACCACTGGAGTTGGTGCGCTTCAACGTCCCACGCGGAGACTCCGCGGGAGACGTATATCCGACTACGTCGAGTAGTCCACTTGTTCAGTCGGCACAGTGAAGCCGGGAAGTGGCTTAGATATCGGCCATTCTAAGTACTGTGAGTTACTGAGCGTTGCGACGGTCCAGTGGGGCCAACGAGTGGCTGACAAATTACCCACTTCAAGCACTGTGAGCAACTGAGTGTTGCGTAGGTCCAGTAGAACCATTGGCAGATCAGCCACTTCAGAAGAACGAATTAGATAAATGAACTTTGATTCAAGTAGAGTGGAAGGAGTTATTCATGAAATGAGAGTTCAAATTCGAAGTGAAAGTTCGATTTTTGTAGACCGGTCGAAAATGAAAGTTCGGATTCGTAAATGAAGTTTATAAATTCGGAAAGTTCAAATCCACCGAACACAAGACCAATTTCGACCAATGAACCCTTCGAACAGCTAAATCTTTAGGGTATGGGATGCGCGTTAAGTTGATGGCCAATCGCTGAATTCCATGTGTTATTGAGAGATCTGCTACCTGTAATGTTACTTGATGCCAGCCGACATACACCCTAATGAACTCGAATGTTTAACACTCAATGTTACGGATTAACAATCCGGGGTTATACATGAGAATCAGGATGCAACCGTGCAGTCCTCAAAACTACTACTGGTCCGGCGGCATTGGGACTCGCACCAACGTAAAACAGCTCTTTGTTGCTCGTCAGGAGCTAGGCCGCTTGAAGATTCCAGCTGATCCGTGTAATCCTAGACCTTGATCTTGGCCAAGGATTCATGCAAGAGGTGATCACGAGCTCTTAACTGTTGAGCGTTGCTATCGGATAAACGAACTGTCTGCGCTTCGAATTTGTATTGGACCAGCTGTTGGCCGCCAGCAACTCCCTGTGCGAGATTTGTGGAAACTCTCTTCTCTCACTATTTTCGCTCGCGTGACCAAACGTCACTGACGTTCCGTCGACGTGTGAGTGATAGGTTACCTCTCTATAACCGTTTCTCCGTCACCAAAATTTCCGCCAACCATAGTTCCTCAAGTCACACAGAGCCTCAGTGACAGAGGAATGCTGCTGAAGCCTCTTATGTTACAGCTTTCGGCTCAAGAGTAATAGCGACTCCTACTGGAGGTTCATCGTCAATGAGAGAAAAGTCGGTTGAGATTGTTCATGATTCATTGGCGATTGGCTCTTTGAGTCGACTCTGAACTGAAGGTAGCTGCCGGTTAGTTTCCCGCGTCCCATTCCCTCGGAATGCTCTTCGCTGCCCATGCGGGAGCCCTCTGCTGCTTTTTAGTTGAGAAATTCCAGGACTCGGCCGTTACTGGGCAATTACCAGAGCTGATGCGTGATGCGATGGCCTATATCCCTAGGCATGTGTTCACGCTGGACTGCACTACCGAAGAATTTATTCTCAACATAGACGAGATGCCAGACTTCATCCTAATGACTAGGATGAAGCCCCCAGGAACGGGTGTGTCCCGGAAACAAATTGAAATTACTCTCATCCCAAAAAATGGGATCTTATTTTTGGGCTAGGTAACCCTGAAGAACTGCTGCATAGGCAGTCCTTGCGATTTTGTTCTGTTCATTGTTGATACAGGATGGAATGTAATGTGGCTTTTTCAATGCGATGAGGCGCCCATCCAATCGCTTAGCGAGTCCTTGAGGAGTAACGGACACGCCGTGGTCCCTCATCTGATGAGGCTCATCAGAAGCGCAGCCATTTTCTTTAGCGTCACGAACGGATCATCAGAGATATAGGCCTCCACCGCGAGCAAGTGCTCTTCAGTTAATTTGATCCGACGTGCGCCACCCTTCGGACGGAGTGATGGGCTTCCTTTATCCACCCAGTACTTTGCAGTGGAACGAGCAACCTCGTGAGTTGATGCTACTCAAACCCAGCCCTGCCCTTGATTCGCAGCTCTCACGATGCGACGCCGTGTCGAAGAACGAGATCGTGTGTATGGACCTCGTCGATTCGCTGGAGGAGTGGCATCCTGTGTTTCCTCCGAGTCCGAGGCATCCTTCCGAATATGAGCTGTCT